CAACTTAATTAAACACTTACGTGGAAGATGTCAACTTATCATTTTACCTATTTTTATATTTCATAAACATGTAATCCACAAATCAGAAACACTATAATGATACGATTTTGTTCATGAAAGAACAGTAAACAAAATCTTTAAACAACATACCCGGAAAATCAACTAGTAAATATAAAACTACTAGATTAGCTTAATTTTTAGTGACAATAATTAACAAAATTCTAAAATAAAACTCGCATATTCTAGTTATCCGTAACAGGGGAGAGAGTGATAGCCAGGTGTGAAAGAGGAAAGAAAGAAGAAGACGATGGCGTCAATGTCTCTCTCGTTTTCTTCTTCGCTATGTTCTTCTCGAATTCCTCAAGGAAAGCGTATATTTCGTCAGAGAGATGCGACCATCGTACGATGCGTTTTGGCTGCTTCGAAATCTTCTTCTCCGACGAAGAAGAGGATTTGGAAGGAAGGCGAGTTTCCTGGAATCACGGAGCCGGTTAATCCGAGACGTACTCCGATGAAGAATGTGAAGAAGAAACTTGACCGGAGAAGCAAAGCTAATGGTTGGGCTAACACTGTCACTGAAACCTTGTCCGATCTCATCGCTAAAAAGCAGTGGTTACAAGCTCTCGAGGTATCTCAAACCTTCTCTCTTCTCAATCCCAATTCAATGAAATGAGGAATTTTTATTTAGCTGAAATTGGAGATTCTGAAATTGTGTGAAAGATGATGATTCGTTTCAATTGGGTATTTGTTGATGATCTTAGGTTTTTGGTATGTTGAGAGAACAACCATTTTACCAACCAAAGGAAGGAACTTACATGAAGCTGCTTGTTCTTCTGGGGAAATCTGGACAACCCAATCGTGCACAAAAGCTGTTCGACGAAATGCTTGAAGAAGGACTTGAACCCACTGCTGAGCTCTACACTGCTCTTCTCGCTGGTTACTGTCGCAACAATCTCATCGACGAGGCTTTTTCAATTCTTGACCGAATGAAAAGCTTGCCTCGATGCCAACCTGATGTTTTCACTTACAGCACTCTGCTCAAGGCATGTGTGGACGCTTCTCTGTTTGACTTGGTGGACTCGTTATACAAAGAAATGGACGAGCGTTTGATAACTCCAAACACAGTGACCCAGAACATAGTTTTAAGTGGGTTCGGTAGGGTCGGAAGGTTTGATCAGATGGAGAAAGTTTTGTCTGATATGCTGGTGAGTACTTCTTGTAAACCCGATGTGTGGACTATGAATATCATCCTTAGTGTGTTTGGAAACATGGGTAAGATAGACATGATGGAAAGCTGGTACGAAAAGTTCAGGAACTTTGGGATTGAGCCAGAGACTCGAAGTTTCAATATCTTGATCGGTGCTTACGGGAAGAAGAGAATGTATGATAAGATGTCTTCGGTGATGGAATACATGCGAAAGCTAGAGTTTCCATGGACAACATCGACTTACAACAATATCATCGAGGCATTTGCGGATGTCGGTGATGCAAAGAACATGGAGTATACATTTGATCAGATGCGTAGCGAAGGTATGAAAGCAGACACAAAGACCTTTTGCTGTCTCATTAACGGATACGCCAATGCTGGTCTTTTCCACAAGGTGATTAGTAGTGTTCAACTGGCAGCTAAGTTTGAGATACCCGAGAATACTGCCTTTTACAACGCGGTTATATCAGCGTGTGCCAAAGCCGATGATCTGATAGAGATGGAAAGAGTGTACACAAGAATGAAGGAGAGACAATGCGTTTGCGATTCAAGAACGTTTGAAATCATGGTCGAGGCGTATGAAAAAGAAGGTATGAATGATAAAATCTATTACTTGGAACAAGAGAAGCAAAAGCTAATGGATCGCGCTTCAGCTACGAAAGAGGAGGAGAATCTCCCGGGATGATCTCGGTTTACGCATCTCTGCAACGAGAGAGATCTTTCTCTCCTGGCAATAGAAGTAAGGAGTTTGTAATACATACACTTGATTGTTCTTCTTGCAGCTGTGTGCATAATAAAGCTTCTTTTTTACATTTGAGTGTTGTTATTAATGGGCCTGAAATATATATATATTGAGCCCAATAGATAAAGACTGACGTACCCAACAAGTCGTGGACTTTGACTATAACCGTTTCTCTATAAATCTCTCTCTCTCTCTTACCGTTTCTTCTCGAACAAACAAAGCGAAGTAACCAAAGAAAAAATTGAATACAATTTCCTCTGAAAATTTTTATAAAAAAAAAAACACAGATTCGATCGGAATTTTTCTCCGGGAAATCGACAATGGGAGTTGTTGTGAAGTCGTTCAAGGATCAATTCTCTTCTGGTTTGTTCGTTGATCTATACTATACGTTTTCTCATTTTGATTCTGTGGAATTTTTCTCGGAGAAATGTGGAATCTGCGGATTTTTGATCGGTTGTGATTTTTATTTTGGGATGATGCAGAGGAGAGATTGAAGGAATCGAAGAACATCATTGCGAAATATCCAGATAGAGTTCCGGTGAGAATATTTCATGCAAGGAATCGTTTGATTACTTTCTTCGTGGTAGTTCGTCCGAGTTGCCGTGTGATTGTGGATTTCCTAGGGTTCGAGTGATTAGTCCAATTATGTTTCTGTGTTTTTTCTCGAATTGCTCGAATTTATGGGAATTTGGGTTCAAATTTAAGATTTTCTGCTTCATTGATCTGGGATCTGAAATTCGACTGATTTTGTGCATTTTGGTTCTGATCCCATCACTCTGGTCAATGTTGGTGACTAGATCTTTGTTATTTCTTATAAGTAAATTCCAGATTTTGGGATTTGATGTGAAATCATTTATAATCATGATAACTCTGTGGCTGTTTATTGATTAAGAACTTATCCTGAAGTAACATTTCTGAGTATTATCTAATGAGTGAGTCAAACCTTTGTATTTGCTTTTTGGTTTCTTCATCAAATTCCAGGATTAGTTTTTGATGATTTCTACTATTCATATTTACAGGTGATCATTGAGAAATATTCAAATGCAGATCTCCCAGACATGGAGAAGAACAAGTAAGTTGTGACATCAATTTAGCTGTTTTGGAACAAAGTGATTAATCAAATCATATTTATTTATTTCTATATCCGTAATTGGTTTCTTGCAGATACTTGGTCCCACGAGACATGACTGTTGGACATTTCATTCACATGCTAAGCAATAGGTTACAGTTAGATCCATCCAAAGCTCTCTTTGTCTTTGTACAGAACACACTTCCTCAAACCGGTATGAATGAATCATCGCTCAGGATATCGAAAACTTTACCAATTCTTCTAAACTTTCCATTAATAGATCATATGCTCTTCTTGAATCTGCAGGGAGTCGCATGGACTCTTTGTACAATACTTTCAAGGAAGAAGATGGATTCTTGTACATGTGTTACAGCACCGAGAAAACATTCGGCTAACAAAAGACAGATTCGTCGCCTAATAATAATCGAATCGGATCGAAAAAAAACTCATTCTGAAATAATCCATTTGTTTGATTCTTTATTATGTTTGTGAATAATGTCAGCTAT